CCTGTAGCTCAGCCACGGGCGCGATCTATGCAATCTTACATACCCCAACTCCACACAAGCGCGCACGCACGCACGCACGCACGCACGCACGCACGCACGCACGCACGCACGCACCCACGCACCCACGCACCCACGCACCCACGCACCCACGCACCCACGCACCCACGCACCCACGCACCCACGCACCCACACACGCGCACATAAACACACACCCAGAGACAGAAGCCATCACAGTGCAAACTCCTGGTGCCAAGGCTCTGTTGGAGGAGGTAGATGTCCCTTCGATGTGAAGGACGCGCGTCAACTCACTTGCATTCTTTCCACTTCCCTCCTTCCCTTGCTGCCACCGCAGCTGCAAAGAGACTACTACCTTTCAGCCCAGGCGCTGGGAGTGGTACCCTGCAGACAAAGGGCTTGAATACACAACTCTCCTTTTTGCCTCAAGACGTGTTTTAGTTTAAAGCAAGCTTGCCATTTTGCCTGAGAGCTCTCCAAAACCGCGGAAGGAGAGCCCTGCTTCTTCATCTGATGCCAAGGCAACGGTAGCTTTGGAACAGGAAGTGGGTCGGGAGCTGTAGGTCAAGGTTCGTTAAGGTTTTTCCCATTTTGGGGCTTCGGGCAAGTTTCGGGCTCAGCGATACCAGCCCTAGAACACTTGACGTGGACCAGCCGAGCTGCATCCTGGCCTGACTGGCCAGGATGCGGGATTGCTGCAGCAAATGCAGCCCTACGCCCTAAGCCCAAACTTCAAAACATCTCTGGATCCTATACGCCCTAGTGCCCCGATCCCTCGTTCTTCCAAGCCCTGAGCCCTAAACCTCCACGGACCAAGTCCGAAACCCGACTTCCCCTAAACTCTGAAAAAAACCTGCGTTGCGTCAGGGCAAAGCTGGTGGCTCCACGGGCTCCGGTGCGACCAAAGCGGTCGAGGAAGCGAAGCCGGACGCCTCCAAGCCTTCCAAGGAGCGCTGCTACCAAATTCAAAGTGTGTATGTATGTATGTATGTATGTATGTATGTATGTATGTATGTATGTATGTATGTATGTATTAATGTATGTATGTATTACAATGTATATATGTATGTATGCATGGAAACAACATACCTATGTAGCATGTATACTCATCCGTACATGCCTTACAGTTGTGGTGACCTAGTGGTAAAAGCGGCCTTCTCCGATGGGTTGGTACTACAAGTCGCTCGTCTGAAAAGCTGCTGTGGGGGCTGCAGGCCATAGACTCTCAGTAGAGACCGCCACTGATTCAATCGTGCTACGCTGCTTTGCTTCCTTGTGTGGCACAATACCGTTCAGGGTTTGAGTCATGGTCTCAGTGCACAGGATGTGTCGGCCGATGGCAAGAAGGCGCTGTGCTGGGTCGTTGTTCTTGCCAGAGTGGCTGATCTAAAACACCTCCACTCTCAACCCTTGCCTTGCTGACGGTGCATGGATACAACAGGAGGTCTTTCAGGGTTAGCTGGCTCACAGGCACCAGACGAGTGCACTCTCGCTGTCGCAAGGGCCGACTTCTCGGCGACGTGTGGATTGACATCGCTGAGGAGGGTGCTGCCGAGGTGCGGCCCCATGAGAAACAGAAAACTTGAGAAATGTAACATTCAACTTCATGCTGGCGGCCTTCACCAAACGGATCACATCCCGACTGTGCGGCACGATGGCTTTGTGCACCGTCTACATGTAAGCCATGTAGATTCAGGAACAAAGAGCCACCTCCGCCACGATTCCAGGTCGACACTCCTTGCCCGTACGTTGTTTCTGTTCACGAAAAGTCTTCCGAAAGACGTACGCAGTAGCCGAGAGCTTAGCTTCCAGGAAGCCCTGGGCGAGCGCGATTTCCTCCGTGGACATCTCGGGCCGTCAGATGTTTGCAGTTCAACCCCTGTTGAGCGAGTTTCTGCTCGGAGCATGTGGTAGTGGCACAGCTACTGTTGTTCAATATAGAGTGTCTGGATCACTAGGAGAAGCAACGCCGAAACAACCTTGGTCGCTATACGACTCTCCTGTGAACGTAACGAGGTTGCCCCAAAAAAGCAGTCATTGCAGTCCCTGTGCGCAAGGGCTTTCTTCGGATGTGGCCTGAACCCTCACATGGCAACTGTTAGGAAACAGTCGACTTTGGTAATACTACATAAAGGGGCCCCGAAGTCGAGGATTCACTGATGTTGAACCCCCCGCAAGCCCCTGCCCTTCTCAGAAGGAACAGACCAAAGCCGAGCCCTGTACCGCAGACCTAGAAGACACCAGGGAAGCATGGCAAAACCCACTATAGACCCCATCACAAGCCTGTCAAACCAAAATTTGCAGACCTTCAGAAGGCTTCATGCAACGCCACTGGATTTACCCATAACTTTGTGTGCAAGACCTTTCAGTAGCCCTTGTAATGCCCCATGCTGGTCTGATTAAGCCTGTGTAAGACCCTCATGGCACCCTTCTCGCACCCCTTTATGGAAGCCCTACCCTAGGGCTCCAGTTACCTAAATAGTAGGTTACTGGGGTACATAATATGTGGTTAGTAACCCACTATTTAGGTTACTGGAGCCCTAGGGCTATACAAGGCCCTTGAAGGGCTCATGGAAGCAAAACGTACTCGTCGATGGGCCCGAGGCGAGCCCACACCGGGTGGAGCAGCTTCTGGTGCTTCTTGGCTCCATTGGGGGCCTGTTTAGGGTTTAGGGTTTAGGGTGGGAAAGGAAATCCGAGAAGCGCAAGCCACGGAAACGGGCAATATCGCGCTTATGACACACAGATGCAAAGTAATATTGTGAGATTATATGTATGCAGATATGTATGTGTATGCAATGAGAAAGCGAGGAGTTGCATATGATGACCTCTGCATAACCCTATGAAAACTAGACAAGAAACCTTCACAACAGCCATGCAACAACCGGTTTGTGGCCCAGGCTTCGCCGTTCCTCGTTGTGTACGCAGTGCGCGTGAGTGTGTTTGTAAGAGCTTCCGTGTTGCAGTGCAGATTTGTTGCTTTGTTGTTTTCGGAGAAACCTGTGAGGGCTTTGTTGATTGCATTTTGGAATCCACCCCGCATCCGTTTGACAAGGGGTTCGCTTTGCAACAGTTTGCTCGTTGCCTGTTGAACGCCTGCAACTCGCAGGCGCCATTCCTCAAACGTTAAGTATCTAGAGATGCAGATGCAAATCGGGATGTGGCCGTCGAATCTGATCGGCTATTCTAAGAGGCATGGGGAGATCATATGCTGCAGCTGATTCCTTGATCCATAACTTCGGTGATATCCAGGCAACTTTCAAGTTTTTGCATGTCTGCATTGAGCACTGCAAACGTCGAAAAGTCCCGCGCATACAAGTGCGATGTGCGTAGCTAATTTTATCGATATTTTTTGGCATATTTTGGGCAGATTTTTGCAGAGGTACTAACCCGACTAAAAACTGTTCAGAATTGGCGCCGAAATCGGCACGAACATCGGCGCAGAAAATCGGCGCAGGAGATTTGTCGCCGGAACACGATGCATGAATCAGCACATGAATCGGGGCATGAACGTAGAAGCTCTCAGTAAGTGCGGGTTGCGCTTGCACAGATCAGTGTTAAACTTGTTGATTAACGATTGCGGTTTATGGTTCGACATTGTACTTCAATGTTTCGGCCGGGACGGTCTGACTGTTGGGCTTCGGGCAGGTACTTTCGAAGCGCATGCATCCTTGAACCTCTTCTTGGCTACTAAACACAGCCACCCCTGAAGTCTAAGCTGAAGAGCCACATGTGGGAGCAGCATACTGCAGAGCGCTACCCAATATGAATGAAATCGTCGGAAAAAAAGATAAATCGGTGCCGAGCTTCTGCACCGTGTTTGCGGCCTATCTTTGTTCTTTGGGTATTCGGGTGGGAGAATTGCAAGGGCTGCTAGACAATATTGGTCAGCATCATGCAGACTGTTGCGAGTTGCGGCGCTGCAGATCCGGACATACACAGTAGCCGCATCAGCATCAGGGTTCGTGGTTTGCAGACAGACATGGACCGGATCATAGCCGTCAGCAGCCTTGCTGATGTTGCTTGATCAAGGTCTTCCTTTCCTTCGAAGACCTGGGCGCAGCCGGCGCCAGTTTGCAAAGGATAGTTCCCTTCGCGCACATTCGCTTAGTTTTACTCCGCAGGGTGCAATGCCACAAGGCAGGTTTAGGCTTGGCGAGTTGTCGATCTAAGCGGGCGAGTAGTGAGGCAGCGGAAAGTCCGGGAGCTGAAGCAGCTCGCTTTTCCCTGTAATCCGAGTCAGCATTTGTGGTGTCCTCGTGAAGCATGGACAGCGGACGTAGGTTGACGATTGAGGTTATACCGTCCCGACATGTCAGGCAAAGAAACCGCTGATCCTGCTTTGACCTCAGCCACTTTTTGTCGACTGGAGACTTCATTTTGTGGGCGGGCTTTGTGTCTGCTTGTATGAATCGCCACTGTTCTCTGACTGGTGCCCGTGTTTGTGGTAGCTTCTCTTTTGACTGAACTGATTCAACACAGGCTGCGGATGCTGCAATGCCTAGTCCGGAGGCGAGGAAGGGCCAGAACCTCTTCATAGTCTGCAAACACTGTCGTGCTGGGTTCACCATGCAGCAGGAGCAGTCAGAGAGTCATCGCGCTAAATGCCTTGCCGGGTGTTCCACGCCCATGAAAGCGAATTAAGCTATTGAATATGCATCTCCCACTTCCCACACACCCGCTTTGAGAGAGCTCCTCGAGGGCAGACCCCATCATGTGTTGCCAGGCGCCACCCACGCCGGGAAAGGCCCATGGACCTCTCCATGCGCATTTCGAAAATGTTTGGCTTGCATCTACTAGTAGGCAAAGACATTGCATGAGACCGCAGTCTTCTTCCAGGCATATAGGGCCCTGTCAATTGCGCTTTAAGTCATGATCCTGCTTATTTTTTCTGGTAAGTGTCCTCATTTCATTAGTACAGAGAACGATGCTTTCCAAACTATAGGCCGTTATTGGTATCGGTTTCGACATCGCCCACTGCGAGATCCCAACCATGGAGTTCAATCGACGCAGAACTCATTGTGTCTCCTCCGGAACTTTATAGCGCTGAAATTCGCAGCCACACATCCCTCAGCCCAAACCTCAACAACGGCTTGAGGGGTGGAGCCTTGAGTCATGCCCTGCAGTGCCACATCTGAGCTCAGCGGTTTACAGCTTCCGACAGCTTCCAAAATAAATAAATAAATATATATATATATAATATATATATAATATATATATATATATACAAATGCATATAAACATAGATATAAATAAGTAAATAAATAAATAAATATATATATATATATATTATGTGTGTGTATATATATATATATCGCATGTACACAGTGATGGGGCACAGGCAGGGGACCTTCACCGTCAGCCCGTGCTAAATCTAGTTGTTTAATCCTCCACCCGGCGAACCCCAAAAACACTTCACATCCCCCAAGAATCCAAGGCCCAGGTCGTTGCCTTGATGAAGCGGTAGTTAGCCAATACGTGAGCAACCTTAGAGGCCAAGAGAGGAACCAAACAGCTGCCACTGCGACTTGAAGCGCTCCTCCGGCCAGGCCGAAGCGGGTGACGCACCAAGGACGGATGAGCTTAGGATGCTTTAAAATATAGGACCATCTGGCCGTTCAGCGGGATGAAAAGGCTCTTTCGGGTTGTGTGCATTTCGCTGTTGCACTGAGTTCAATGGGTCGGGAGTGCAGAGCGCACATCTTTCGGAGGGTTCAGGGAGAGGCGGAATTAAGGTGTCTGGCGTCAGGTCACCCCATGCCAGGCTATTGCTTCTCGGGACTGCTTAGCTTGGGCTTGGAGTATCGGACAGACAGGTAAGGTGAAGCGAAATCATAGCAGCCTGGAGTGCATCCCAGAAAGCCCTGACCTTAACCATACTGCGGGAGGTCCGAAGCATTGAATCTGTGTAAGCTTTTCTTTACCCCGTTCCACAGGCCACTCACAGCCTCAAGACAAGAGAGCAGCACTTGTGGTCAGGTTTGCGTTCCTGCCGGAGCTGTCCCTGAGTCAGGAGCGGTGTTTATTCCATGGGTGTCACTTACCGTCCTTGTTGTCAAGGGTGTACCAACACGGAGTATTGAATTGATAGGCAGACTGGAAAATCAGTCTCCTACAACCATTATTCTTACGGCTCCTGTCTGCAACACTGCCAAACCAGTTCGACCAAAAACACTGGCAAAGCCTGGCAGTCCAAGCCTTGGCTTCAGGACAAGGATCGCTGAAGCCACAAACACCAAAAGTGATCTTCAATGTAGACAGCGGTTGAGCGCTTAGGGTGTTGAGTCTAGAGTTCAGGGTTCTTCATCCAGAGTTGTCGACAGGCGCTGAAGGAACGGGCCGACTCCTTTCTGGCCATGCAGACTGAGGTCGTGGGTTTGCAGTGTATGGGGTTCATGTCATGTGGGCATCGAGAGTTTGTTGAAAGGGCTCATGTAGGGGCTTAGACGGTTTGGGGTTGAAGTCAGTGCACGGTTTCCCTGCAAGCAGTCACTAGAAGGGTGAGAGAAGGTTTCGGAATTGGCCAGCGGTAGACGCCCGCGCTTATCCAAAAGTGCGATGCGAGCATTTCTGACAAAGTTGGCTTTGGTACACCTTCAATTTTCAGTGTAGTCCAAGACAATGGCAGAGGGGCAGAGTGGGGGCGTTCATTTCGTAACGTATGAATTCCACAAACATATACAAGCTTGACGTGACTTGCTCTTTGATCTAGGTCGTGTCGCAGCTCCAGGGCTTAGTTGACGTCTGACGGGGAGCAGAGGCCCTAAAACCCTAAACCCACTCTTCTAGCGGCAATTTGACGATGCTCGACCGGCCTCTGGGATGCTCGCAGCTGCCTCTGTCCTCAAGGGTGCAGCATAGAAATCACATCTTCCCGTCTTCGCCTTACTGCCGGCGTGCCGCCGAGTGAGCCATACCTATATCGAACTATGTATAGTACTACTATGTGGCTTCTTTCTGCCGCAACTGCCCTGGCATTTGCGGCAGACGAAGCAGGGTGCCAGGTTCCTGATGCCAGCTCGACACGTGCTCTGATCCAGCACGTCAGCACCGTCCGGAAAAGCCAAGGCTCACAGAAAGACTTGGGCCTGCAGTTCGGAAGAGGTGTGCGGCGGAACGGGCACAGGATGTGTTCCAAGAAGCAGAAGAAGATGTGGTGGATTAGTAGTGTCTCCCTGGCGCCTCAGTGCGAACACCTGGACAGCTACCTGGACCAGTATGAGATTGCTCTCATCTCCTGGAGGGATTCCGGAAACACCCTTTTTCAGCCGCTCCTTGCATGTCATCTGCCTCGGGGCAGCACCCCGGCCGGCTTGAGCACACAGACCGTGAGTCGTTTAGATCGTCTCAGAAAGCTTGGGGCCAACATCACCTTCCATAGCCTGTCCTTCATCGACCGAGCTCCGGATGCAAGTGGGCCACTTGTGCACTGTTTCTCTGAGTCACATAGAAGTACTAATTAATTACTACTGGGTGTCACCTTGCAGCCGAACCTCCCCGCAATCCAGGAATGCATGCCGTCCCAAAGCTGAAGAAGCAGACGGTTGACTTGGAGTGCATAGCCGGCACGTACATGCGGCTTGACATTCCACAGATCTTGGACAACGCCATGGCCTTTCAAGGCGATGCTGGCATGCAGTGGCTCAACCTCTTTAGGGCTTGGGGGCCAAAGCCTTCAGGGGTTTACCTAGCGCGGAAGGCACCATCATCCTCCCCTATGTTCGAGCATGTCCGATCTAGGAAAAGTCGAGACTGGTCCTCGGTGAGTGTTCCCAGCGTCTGCAGATTAGTCCGGCATTCGGCTTTTCCGTTTCTACTTTCTTTCGTGTAGTGCAGCATAACAATTCATCATGCATCTGTCTATGTAATCTTCTTCTACCGTAGAGGAGGAAGACACGGGTCTTTTCTCATGCTGTTTGCGGTCCTGCCTCTCATGTCCATCTACGAGTGCAGACAATCTATAAGGTACGATGCACGCCACGCCCTCTACACTGACATGGACATCATGTGGTGGCGCAAGGCCCGGGTACTTGTTGATTGTCACCACTCGCTGCACCCGAATCCCCTAAATGGTTCTTGGATTAGGGTCGCTTGCCCCCACCACGCAAGCTTTTGTGGCTGAGATGAGCAGGAAGTAGCAGTACAGTGTTGCATTATATGGTATTCGTAGAATGTAGTGGAAAGTCTGGAGTATAGAGTATCGTATAGCTACTTTTCGTTTAGCGCGGATCAGTATAGTGATAGGATAGGGTGGAGGGTTTCAAGACGGTGAGGTTCGGCCAATCCATCTGTCAGCGTCCGATTCTGTCTCTGAGACTTCTTTGACCATCAGCGAGAGTCAAAGTCGATCAAGCATGGGGACCTTTGCGAAACCACAACTTCAACAATTGAACACCCAACCAAGGCCCGTGCAACGTGCGAGCGCTTTACGCAGGTAGGCAGGACAAGCACAAAAACTCGAACGCTTGCCAGTGCGACTGTGGCACACCTGGCGAGTGTACGACGTAGGCACACCCACACGCGTACGCACACACCCAGACTCACGCACTCCTTGGACTCCACATTTTTGCATGTCTTATGGCCAGTAGTACTGGCTGACTGACGACTGACTGATACAATCGCGAAGAAGGAACCGGGCACACGGTCACACTCTTACGTACACGCGACAATGTATTTTTTCGCTCTCGCTCTTTATATAAGCTCTCGCCATAGGTGAGCCCTGCGGAGCTGCTGGACTCCGTCCGGTCCAGGGTCTTTGCCGCCGCCTACTCCTCGCAGCTTAAGAAGTTCGAGGGTGCCAGGACCCGGTGTACGAAAAGACTGGTTTAGGTTGTCGGCCAGTAGTTTTGATATGCTGCAAGTTTGCTGTTGGGACTTAACTGCGGATGGGGCGATTCGATGCTATACGTAGTATCTATTCTTCTCTGGCTATTCGTAGTATTGTCTTCTCTGGCTATTTTCGGGCTTTGCTGGGCCTCATGCATTGGTCGCTGTTTAGCATCCAAGCAGAGGCTCCACTATATATATATATATATTCCCTACTTTCAGAATCTATTCTCAACTGGCATTCTGGGATGATTTGATGCGCGACACCGTTTTCGGGATCCTCGAGACTCTAGTCATGTGAATCCTGCAACCCCAGCCCGAAACCCATAAAGTTTGCAGTTGCAAGCTTGAGAGGAATGCCGGAGTTATACTTTTTGACCTGCCCATCTTCCGCATAGTCCAGATGCTCGGATGACATGCGGCTAGTTTGGGGCTTGTTGACTTAAGGCTCAGGATTTGTTCAGAGCTTTTACTTGCGGTTTAGCTTAGGATCTAAGATGTTACGCACATGCGTTGCAGTTACCCTGGCATTCAGACACCGAGAGCTTGCACTGCTTAGTGACTGCTAAGTTCCCAATTCAATCCTAGGGTGTTTGAGTCGGCTGGGTAACACGGGGCTTGGCTCAGGCGCTGTAAAAAATACTTTTCGGGCCAAACTCAAACCAGCCCACTCGGCAAGACATATCCGCGAATATTTTCTCAACCTGCACAGTGTTTCTGCAGATTCCGGATCACGCACGAACTTGACAGGGTACATGGCTAGCATTGCATCATCGGGAGCCACTTGCAACTGCCCTCAGCAGTCCAGCACTCCAACGCTAAGCCTGAACAGCTTTGCCCATCTCAGGCCGAGATTGCTGGCCTGGGCATTTGCCAAGGATCCGGCGACTGGGGCCATCCAGATGAGCGACCTGCACCGAATTGGGACATCAGGAGAGAATCTCCTGTAGCTTGCTTTGCGTAGGCCTAACTCGATGAGGCTGCACTGACATTGCGTGCCATCTATACACCCTCTCTCAGTCTCCCGACTCATTCCCCCAAAGCGCCACCGACTAGACATGCTACACCAAACTTACGCAGGGGCTGAGTAGGTAACCTTTAACCTTTTGGGGCTTATATAAACCTATTATAATTCGAAAGGTTGGCCTTTTTTTTGGCTAAGGTACTCGGCCCCTAAGCTTAAGACACTAAGCCTTTATCCTGAACCGAACCCCCCAGACCTGCGAATGATATCCGGCCGAGGCGAAAAGCTGATATCGAGCCAAGACCAAGGCTGAAGCGTTTGATATGGCTTAGGGCCTCGGATTTTGGGGTTTAGGGCCGTTTTGGGTGGAGGGAGGGGCTCCCTAGCCAGATCATGTGGGAATATCTACGCACTGAAATTAGCCCGGTGGCATAGAGCTTCGATTGGCAAGGCGAAACTGAAGAAACGTTAGCGTGTAAGTGTGTGGCTGCAAGCTCGTTTTCTTTTCCTTAATGCATATACGAGCGTTTCACATAGAGTATACAGGATTGATCTTGTATTCCAGGTTGTGTGCATGCTGGCCGTTGCATGACGCGAGAACGCGTCCCACCCATTGTTTGTTCATCACATGTGCTGCTAAATTGAGTTTGGTTTCGTCGCAGCAGCGGTGGAGCAGTGCAGCCGCTGTAGATGAGCATGCTATGTGAAGGAGGAGATAATGATGACGACGCTGCCTACATTGATGGTGGCAATGTTGATGCTGGTTGTGGTGCTGGTAATCCTTCGGTCATTTAATTGTTGTCGAGCTGATTTCCCGACCGTGCTTTGGTGATGCACCCTTTATTTGCCACCTTGGTCTGCTACATGCTTACTGTAGTCGATGGTGCTTGCTATTCTTTCAGTCTTGCTAGCGTTCTAAGTACACCATCGTCACACAGAACCTAACATCGGAGTGTCATGCACTGCATCTACACGGACCAGGTGTCACATTGGCGTGAGAAAGTAGTTAGTCAGAGCTAGGTGTCGGAAGTTTGGGCATCCAAGTATCCAGATTGTGTCTGCGGCCCTAAGATTTTGCCTATCTGGGTCAAGTAGGGTCGCAACCCGCTTGGAGGCCTTCTGTGACTTGCCTGCGCTGGGGCCTAACGGTGGCTGCAAGCTTTCAAAACTTCCGCGATTTGAGCTTGATTTTGCAGTCTCTTAGCTCACTTGCATTCCTTTCCTGTGGCCGCCCTGGCTTGCATTGGCTTGGGATGGTGCAGCATCCCACCGGAAACAACGACCGATGCCCACTTGCCTTCAGGGTTGCAGCTGTAATGGCTGTGGGCTTGCCGTAGTTTAGCATGCGTCCTCTTGTTTTGCCGGGGCAGTTGCTCAGTTGCTCTGTCGACATCTCACGAGCCCAAAACTATAAGCCCTAAATTTCACCCAGAAGTCAGCTGCCCGGCAGCCGGCCAACGACCCTAAAGCCCAGGAACAACTTCTTCGATCACAACCCGGGCCGGGCCTTCTTGAAGGACAAGTGGAACTACAAGATGTTCTGGTCAGGTGCCAATGGGTGAGAAAGCATTGCAACCAACGGTAATGTTCACCTTTTCGAACACCATGCAACGCAGTACTGCAACTAGCATAACTACAGCCATAATCTGCAGGCAGCCGCAACAAGAGGTAAGTCATGACTAATTTCAGACGACGACAACAGCAACGGCACCAGCACCAGCACCACCACCACTACCGCCGCCACCATAATGTTAAAACCCGAATAATTGCAAACAGTGTAGCCAAAATCTTCCTGGCGATATGACAGCATTAGGGGCGCAGAAGCTACCATTTCGCAGAATATGTTACTTCGGAGCCTGCCATGTCGTAGAAGAGCATCGGCACATTTAGAGAATATACAGGTGGTCGCTTTATCTCGCATCGCTGGGTTGAAATACGCATCGATGAGCGTCCACACTCGGGAAACCGCTTTGAGACAATGACTTCTATTTGCGAACGATCGGATGGTTCCACGTGGAATCGAGCGTGTAGATGGGGAATGGCTGGTTTTGATGTGCTGTCATGCCACTGATGTGCGTTTGGAGAGGGCGCTTGTGGAATGGAGCTTCTAGATGGGGAATGGCTGGGTTGGATGTGGTGTGCTGCACTGACGTTAGTCTCGAGTGGGTGCTTGTGGAATCGAGCGTCTAGATGTGCAATGGCTGGTTTTGATGCGGCGTGCTGCCACTGA